CTAAAAATGAAGGCAATTGAAATATTAGAATTGTTCATGATATACCATTTCTTTTGACGTCAGAGAGTCGAGTAATCTAGTTATTTTTAACAGCCAATAGAATGAATAGATACAACTGAAAAATTTAATGACGTCATCTCATTCAAAACATTTGTAGATCAAGTTACATAGAACTGAAATAGTTGGGATATAAAATTTTAAAATGTCACAATCTTTATATTACCTTCCAGATGCTATTTTAGTTGACCACAGAACTTAGTTGTAAGCATTTTTTAAAAGCTTGGCATCTTCATAATGTTTTATAACACTAAAATAAGACATTTGTACCTGCCTCCAGTTCATGTAACATTAAATTAAATTTTTATAAATTATCCCTTAGATATAACATTTGTATAATATATCTTATATATAACATTTTTAAAATAACATCTCCCTCTCTAATATCTTAAAAAACAAACAAACAAACAAGTTGTTAAACAGCTGGTAGGCTTGCTTGAAACCTCACGTTTAATCCTGTGGGGAGGGGGGGGGGGTAGACTACAGGGGGCCGAGTTGTAGAGCAGACTCTCCTCAATAAAGTGAATGAGGGGGCCCAAATGCAGCAGTCTCTCCCCACTTAAGTAGGGGGCCCCAGGTGCAGCTGTCTCTCCCCACTAAGGTGAATGAGGGGGCCCCAGGGACTGTCGAGCCGTCTTCCAAAGTTTGATCGATGCGCTCACTAACAGCACACAATACGCCAGCACGGAACTGTATCGAACCATTACAGAATTTAATTCTCTTCTAAGACTGGTGGTACAATATAACACTGTTTTAATCTTTGTCAAATGTAAACAATGAAAACAATTTAAGCGCGGAAAATACCCGTGTGCAACTACTGCTGAGAATGTCTAAGAAATGGATCAGGGGAGGCTACCCCAAACTTGGAGATTATTGATAAATTGCGATGGGTTTTTCAGCCTGCTCTTGTTGCGTCCCTTGAATGGCGCGCTATTTCCGGCTTTTTATAAATCATCAATACTCGAAACCCTAGTATGGCACCATGCCGATGTAGGGTTGAAATTATTTTTTTCCCCAGATAAAATGCGTAGATACAGGTACTCAATAAAAATTGATATGAAAAACAGTTGAAGGCTGGAGAAATGACCAAACGGTAAAATAATAAGCACTGCTATAGGGAGTTTAATAAAGAACCCAGGCACTACATAGATTTCAGAGGTCCACAAAATGTGTTTGTCATAGATTTCAGAGGTCCACAAAATACGTTTGTCATAGATTTCAGAGGTCCACAAAATACGTTTGTCATAGATTTCAGAGGTCCACAAAATACGTTTGTCATAGATTTCAGAGGTCCACAAAATACGTTTGTCATAGATTTCAGAGGTCCACAAAATACGTTTGTCATAGATTTCAGAGGTCCACAAAATGTGTTTGTCATAGATTTCAGAGGTCCACAAAATACGTTTGTCATAGATTTCAGAGGTCCACAAAATACGTTTGTCATAGATTTCAGAGGTCCACAAAATACGTTTGTCATAGATTTCAGAGGTCCACAAAATACGTTTGTCATAGATTTCAGAGGTCCACAAAATACGTTTGTCATAGATTTCAGAGGTCCACAAAATACGTTTGTCATAGATTTCAGAGGTCCACAAAATAAAAATACGTTTGTCATAGATTTCAGAGCTCCACAAAATGTGTTTGTCATAGATTTCAGAGGTCCACAAAATAAAAATACGTTTGTCATAGATTTCAGAGCTCCACAAAATGTGTTTGTCATAGATTTCAGAGGTCCACAAAATAAAAATACGTTTGTCATAGATTTCAGAGGTCCACAAAATGTGTTTGTCATAGATTTCAGAGGTCCACAAAATGTGTTTGTCATAGATTTCAGAGGTCCACAAAATAAAAATACGTTTGTCATAGATTTCAGAGCTCCACAAAATGTGTTTGTCATAGATTTCAGAGGTCCACAAAATAAAAATACGTTTGTCATAGATTTCAGAGCTCCACAAAATGTGTTTGTCATAGATTTCAGAGGTCCACAAAATGTGTTTGTCATAGATTTCAGAGGTCCACAAAATATGTTTGTCATAGATTTCAGAGGTCCACAAAATGTGTTTGTCATAGATTTCAGAGGTCCACAAAATAAAAATACGTTTGTCATAGATTTCAGAGGTCCACAAAATGTGTTTGTCATAGATTTCAGAGCTCCACAAAATAAAAATACGTTTGTCATAGATTTCAGAGGTCCACAAAATGTGTTTGTCATAGATTTCAGAGGTCCACAAAATACGTTTGTCATAGATTTCAGAGGTCCACAAAATGTGTTTGTCATAGATTTCAGAGGTCCACAAAATGTGTTTGTCATAGATTTCAGAGGTCCACAAAATGTGTTTGTTATAGATTTCAGAGGTCCACAAAATACGTTTGTCATAGATTTCAGAGGTCCACAAAATACGTTTGTCATAGATTTCAGAGGTCCACAAAATGTGTTTGTCATAGATTTCAGAGGTCCACAAAATACGTTTGTCATAGATTTCAGAGGTCCACAAAATGTGTCAGGCTTGGTGCATTTATGTGATCTGTGTTTGTGTTTTAAAAGGTTTCTCAAAGCTAACATAAGGGATTATAAGAGAGCTAAGAAATGGGCTAACAAAGGAGCTAAGAAATGGGCTAACACAGGAGCTAACATAAGGGCTAATAAGAGAGCTAAGATATTGGCTAACACAGGAGCTAAGAAATGGGCTAACACAGGAGCTAAGAAATGGGCTAACACAGGAGCTAAGAAAAGGGCTAACACAGGAGCTAACATAAGGGCTAATAAGAGAGCTAAGAGATGGGCTAACACAGGAGCTAAGAAATGGGCTAACACAAATCAGACACATACAGACACATTGATACACTCAGTATATTTAATGTTGCCATAAATCATCATTTTGTTTTGTGATGCAGTAAATCCTCAACCTGTCATTTAATGCCATGAATCAAAATGTCATATGAATTGATGTCAGAAGTGATCACATCATTATGTTACTGTACATCAACCTGTCACAATACAACTTTTAATTGCATGACCAGGGTTACTCTATCTGATAGTTACACTGTCATGACCAGGGTTACTCTATCTGATAGTTACACTGTCATGACCAGGGTTACTCTGATAGTTACACTGTCATGACCAGGGTTACTCTGATAGTTACACTGTCATGACCAGGGTTACTCTGATAGTTACACTGTCATGACCAGGGTTACTCTGATAGTTACACTGTCATGACCAGGGTTACTCTATCTGATAGTTACACTGTCATGACCAGGGTTACTCTGATAGTTACACTGTCATGACCAGGGTTACTCTGATCGTTACACTGTCATGACCAGGGTTACTCTGATAGTTACACTGTCATGACCAGGGTTACTCTGATCGTTACACTGTCATGACCAGGGTTACTCTGATAGTTACACTGTCATGACCAGGGTTACTCTGATAGTTACACTGTCATGACCAGGTTACTCTATCTGATAGTTACACTGTCATGACCAGGGTTACTCTGATAGTTACACTGTCATGACCAGGGTTACTCTGATAGTTACACTGTCATGACCAGGTTACTCTATCTGGTAGTTACACTGTCATGACCAGGGTTACTCTGATAGTTACACTGTCATGACCAGGGTTACTCTGATAGTTACACTGTCATGACCAGGGTTACTCTATCTGATAGTTACACTGTCATGACCAGGGTTACTCTGATAGTTACACTGTCATGACCAGGGTTACTCTGATAGTTACACTGTCATGACCAGGGTTACTCTGATAGTTACACTGTCATGACCAGGGTTACTCTGATAGTTACACTGTCATGACCAGGGTTACTCTATCTGATAGTTACACTGTCATGACCAGGGTTACTCTGATAGTTACACTGTCATGACCAGGGTTACTCTATCTGATAGTTACACTGTCATGACCAGGGTTACTCTGATAGTTACACTGTCATGACCAGGGTTACTCTGATAGTTACACTGTCATGACCAGGGTTACTCTGATAGTTACACTGTCATGACCAGGGTTACTCTGATAGTTACACTGTCATGACCAGGGTTACTCTGATAGTTACACTGTCATGACCAGGGTTACTCTGATAGTTACACTGTCATGACCAGGGTTACTCTATCTGATAGTTACACTGTCATGACCAGGGTTACTCTGATAGTTACACTGTCATGACCAGGGTTACTCTGATAGTTACACTGTCATGACCAGGGTTACTCTGATAGTTACACTGTCATGACCAGGGTTACTCTGATAGTTACACTGTCATGACCAGGGTTACTCTGATAGTTACACTGTCATGACCAGGGTTACTCTGATAGTTACACTGTCATGACCAGGGTTACTCTGATAGTTACACTGTCATGACCAGGGTTACTCTGATAGTTACACTGTCATGACCAGGGTTACTCTGATAGTTACACTGTCATGACCAGGGTTACTCTGATAGTTACACTGTCATGACCAGGGTTACTCTGATAGTTACACTGTCATGACCAGGGTTACTCTGATAGTTACACTGTCATGACCAGGGTTACTCTGATAGTTACACTGGTTTTTAAATGAAATGTTCAATGTTTCCTCTACTGGTGTTGCCATACAACCATATCCCAATTAGTGAAAAAATGCCATGACTAAAAAAGGTCTTGGATATTTCTCCCCTAACCCCAGTAGATTCCCCTCTCCTTTAAAATACATATCATACCTATCCCTACCCATTACCATAAGCTGAACACTATCTCTAACCTTAACCCTCAACCCATCCCAAACCTGAAGCATATCACTAAATTAATTGTAACCTGTCCACATCTGTATCTCTAAATGACTGGGGAGGGGTAAATGTCCAACTGCACTTTTTTGGGTGGGATAATGTACAGGGGTATTTGACTGAGGGGTGGGGGGTGGGGGAAGATTTCCTGATCTCAGGTGAAAGACACATTCAACTCACCTGAACCTCACCCAACTCTGCTGCATTATGCAATGGACTCCCACCCAGATTGTCCAGGGTCACTTTGGCCCCACCCTCCTTCAGCAGCCAGTGTACAACCTGCGCATGTCCCCTGCTGGCTGCGTAATGTAAGGGCGTGGCTCCATCAAAGTCTCGGTCATTTGGGTTGCATTTCTCCTCTTTTACCTGTCATACACAGTTCAACAAAATATACTTCACAAAGATGATGGATCGTGGGGGGGGTTCAAAATGAGCTCTATAAAGAAGGTGGGGAATACACAATATACTTCACAAAGATGGTGGGGAATACACAATATACTTCACAAAGATGGTGGGAATACACAATATACTTCACAAAGATAATGGGGAATACACAATATACTTCACAAAGATAATGGATAATACACAATATACTTCACAAACATGGTGGGGAATACACAATATACTTCACAAACATGGTGGGGAATACACAATATACTCTATAAAGATGGTAAAGTTCCCTTTCAAATGTGATGGTTTATGGGGATAGCGAAGTAGAGTTCACCTGTTTCTGTGACCGCAGCGTATGAAGGGATAGTGTGGTCAAAACTATGCCCAGCCATCTGTGCTTTTACTAATGTAAGTTAGGTACCCATCAGAGTGGGGTGGACAGTCTACCGACTTGAAACCAGATTTGGACTTGGTACTTTCAGGTCAGCAGTCTAGCTCTCTACCGCTAGGCCACACCATCCCATCAAAGTTAACACAGGCTACAGACCTCTAACATCACATACACAAATGTAAACATCATCACTGGTCTACTCACCAACCACTTGACCACCACAAGATGTAAACATCATCACTGGTCTACTTACCAACCACTTGACCACCTCAAGATGTAAACATCATCACTGGTCTACCCACCAACCACTTGACCACCACAAGATGTAAACATCATCACTGGTCTACTCACCAACCACTTGACCACCTCAAGATGTAAACATCATCACTGGTCTACTTACCAACCACTTGACCACCTCAAGATGTAAACATCATCACTGGTCTACTCACCAACCACTTGACCACCTCAAGATGTAAAGATCATCATTGGTCTACTCACCAACCACTTGACCACCTCAAGATGTAAACATCATCACTGGTCTACTTACCAACCACTTGACCACCTCAAGATGTAAACATCATCACTGGTCTACTCACCAACCACTTGACCACCTCAAGATGTAAACATCATCACTGGTCTACTTACCAACCACTTGACCACCTCAAGATGTAAACATCATCACTGGTCTACTTACCAACCACTTGACCACCTCAAGATGTAAACATCATCACTGGTCTACTCACCAACCACTTGACCACCTCAAGATGTAAATATCATCACTGGTCTACCAACCAACCACTTGACCACCTCAAGATGTAAATATCATCACTGGTCTACTCACCAACCACTTGACCACCTCAAGATGTAAACATCATCACTGGTCTACTTACCAACCACTTGACCACCTCAAGATGTAAACATCATCACTGGTCTACCCACCAACCACTTGACCACCTCAAGATGTAAACATCATCACTGGTCTACTTACCAACCACTTGACCACCTCAAGATGTAAACATCATCACTGGTCTACTCACCAACCACTTGACCACCACAAGATGTAAACAACATCACTGGTCTACTTACCAACCACTTGACCACCTCAAGATGTAAATATCATCACTGGTCTACTTACCAACCACTTGACCACCTCAAGATGTAAACATCATCACTGGTCTACTCACCAACCACTTGACCACCTCAAGATGTAAACATCATCACTGGTCTACTCACCAACCACTTGACCACCTCAAGATGTAAAGATCATCATTGGTCTACTCACCAACCACTTGACCACCTCAAGATGTAAACATCATCACTGGTCTACTTACCAACCACTTGACCACCTCAAGATGTAAACATCATCACTGGTCTACTCACCAACCACTTGACCACCTCAAGATGTAAACATCATCACTGGTCTACTTACCAACCACTTGACCACCACAAGATGTAAACATCATCACTGGTCTACTTACCAACCACTTGACCACCTCAAGATGTAAACATCATCACTGGTCTACTTACCAACCACTTGACCACCTCAAGATGTAAACATCATCACTGGTCTACTTACCAACCACTTGAAATCCTCAAGATGTAAATATCATCACTGGTCTACTTACCAACCACTTGACCACCTCAAGATGTAAACATCATCACTGGTCTACTTACCAACCACTTGACCACCTCAAGATGTAAACATCATCACTGGTCTACTTACCAACCACTTGAAATCCTCAAGATGTAAATATCATCACTGGTCTACTTACCAACCACTTGACCACCTCAAGATGTAAATATCATCACTGGTCTACTTACCAACCACTTGACCACCTCAAGATGTAAACATCATCACTGGTCTACTTACCAACCACTTGACCACCTCAAGATGTAAATATCATCACTGGTGTACTCACCAACCACTTGACCACCTCAAGATGTAAATATCATCACTGGTCTACTTACCAACCACTTGACCACCTCAAGATGTAAACATCATCACTGGTCTACTTACCAACCACTTGACCACCTCAAGATGTAAATATCATCACTGGTCTACTTACCAACCACTTGACCACCTCAAGATGTAAACATCATCAAAATATGAAAGCACTGGTGTACTCACCAACCATTTGACCACCTCAAGATGTAAACATCATCAAAATATGAAAGCACTGGTGTACTCACCAACCATTTGACCACCTCAAGATGTAAACATCATCAAAAGATGAAAGCACTGGTGTACTCACCAACCATTTGACCACCTCAAGATGTAAACATCATCAAAAGATGAAAGCACTGGTGTACTCACCAACCATTTGACCACCTCAAGATGTAAACATCATCAAAAGATGAAAGCACTGGTGTACTCACCAACCATTTGACCACCTCAAGATGACCCATCTGTGCAGCTGCATGCAGACATGACATCGCATCGTAAGCTTTGATTTTTGTGGCCCCATTCTTGCTGACCAGGTACTTGAGTATATCCAGGTAACCGGCTTGACAAGCCAGGTATACAGGTGTGGTTCCATTGTTCATCTGCATGTTGATGAGCCTAATTGGTTCAAATGCACAGAGCTTATGTCAGAACCTGGACCAGTTGAGGTTAAATCATCCATACAGGTATACAAAGCTTTTTAAAAGGGGGAATTATGAATTTCATTCTCTTCATACAAAACAAATGAAAAAATTCCAATGATTAAAAACTTTCTACTTAATATAACAGTTTAATTCATAATTCACAAATTTTTAAAATTATGTTTCAAATTTATCATCAACCTATTGAAAAAGGCCAATATTATTACAAATGATTATGGATGTGAAAAATGATGTCTACCTCCCTATTTTCAACCCTACCAATGAAACGTGTTGTAAGAAATGATGGTGGTATTTTCAACCAATGAAACATGTTGTAAGAAATGATGGTGGTATTTTTAACCAATGAAACATGTTGTAAGAAATGATGGTGGTTTACCTTGGGTTTTCATCCACTAAAATTTTCACACAATTCATGTCTCCTCCAACAACAGCAAAGTGAAGGGGTAGGGCATCAGTAGTAGTTCTAATGGCAGCACTAGCCTCAGCTTCATCCAGCAGCCACTGGGAGGAGAGACAGGAACAATGGTAAACAACCATTAGCCAGAAAGGAGCAGAGTGGTAAACAAACAATAGCCAGACAGGTGCAGTGGTAAACAAACAATAGCTAGACAGGAGCAGTGGTAAACAAACAATAGCTAGACAGGAGCAGAGTGGTAAACAAACAATAGCCAGACAGGAGCAGAGTGGTAAACAAACAATAGCCAGACAGGAGCAGAGTGGTAAACAAACAATAGCCAGACAGGAGCAGAGTGGTAAACAAACAATAGCCAGACAGGAGCAGAGTGGTAAACAAACAATAGCCAGAAAGGAGCAGAGTGGTAAACAAACAATAGCCAGACAGGAGCAGAGTGGTAAACAAACAATAGCCAGACAGGAGCAGAGTGGTAAACAAACAATAGCCAGACAGAGGAAGAAAAACAATAGAATGGTAAACAACCATTAGCCAGACAGAGGAAGAAAAACAATAAAATGGTAAACAACCATTAGCCAGACAGAGGAAGAAAAACAATAGAATGGTAAACAACCATTAGTCAGACAGAGGAAGAAAAACAATAGAATGGTAAACAACCATTAGCCAGACAGAGGAAGAAAAACAATAGAATGGTAAACAACCATTAGTCAGACAGAGGAAGAAAAGCCATAGAATGGTAAACAACCATTAGCCAGACAGAGGAAGAAAAGCCATAGAATGGTAAACAACCATTAGCCAGACAGAGGAAGAAAAGCCAACCTTCGGTCTCTGAGACAGAAAAAAAACTTTTTAATGACCAATGCTTTCAAATGCACAATTTTCAAGACTCATGAGATGAATTCCACCCTCATTTGACATTGCCTTGATGCAGTGAGATGGCCTGTGTACCCCAGCAACCGTGCAATCTTCTTGGCTAGGGGTCAGACTTTATGTTGTGACCGGGTCATCTAGGTTGGGGGTTTTGCATTGAGGTAACTACTCCATCAATGACTAAATGATGTCCATTAGGGAATTAGAGAGGGGGAGATACATTTAAGATCTTGTGTGAGGAGAGGAAGATGTGATGTCCCACATTTGTATTTTAGAAAGAAATGTATTTAAACTGACTTTTATCAGTTATATCAGATTTTTTGGGGGAAATTTTAATAATCAGTCAATATACACTTGACCAAGTTTTATAACAATTTTAAAAAGAAATTGTTATGATAAAGAAATCTTGAGGGGCAAGAAATACTTATGTACGACCATTAAGTACATAAACAAGACTAATTTTAATTATAAGTTAAGAATGAGTCACAGAAAATGTAAATAATTTATTTATTTTCCCAAATTAACCATGATTAGAAAAGAAAAATGTTTTTCATCAGCTTTTATTTGAAATAAATATAAAATGTATGTAACATTTTTACTTTTTCATATCAGAATATAGAGGAAGTATTGTAATCTTGCAAAAAAAAAAAAAAAATCACATGAAATTTTGACAGTTTTCATCATTTTACATCTCAGTACTTCATCATATACGGAGGACTTAGCTGGATTTTTATTGGGCCCTACGTCAATCTGTAAATAGTGTATTTTATATGTCCTAATTGTGTATTATTATGTAGTACCCCGTAACGTAAAATACCTTTGATTTTATATCACTTTTATGTCAAAACAAACTAACAAATTAACTGTAAGCATCTAACCTAACACAGTAGCTCCACGAGGCGGGGCCTCACAATTTAGGCATAGCACCATGATGAAAACTCGTAAAATTTACTGCCCAAACTATGTTTTATTTAGTAAAAATAATAAAATATTAAGGAGAGGGGTAACACTCCAGCGGAAATGCAAAATTGTTGGACGGGGTGGGGGTGACACTCACTAAACGCACCGGGTTCTTTGCAATAGGATCATTTTTATATTAATTAATGCATAAAGGACAAGGAGACAGACAAACAAAAATCTTTATGTAGCTGTGTTTTGAGTAGAGATAAATTAGATCAACAAACAAATTGTGATTAAGGTTAAAACTAGCAGAAAAACATTAACAAATTTTCTACTCAACTTGATGTGAAAGCACATTCCATGGCTGTTAACCAAAAAATTGATCAATTGTAATCATGGATGAATGGAATTTCGTTAAGGACAGAGCGTTGAGAGGGGAGGGGTGCAGGTTTGTGGGGGTGGGGTAGAGAGTTTTGCTAGATGCCTATCTCACAAAAGAGTCAATGTTCAAGTTTATTTATAGGCTAATTCTCTCAATGGCTTGTCCGACAATGCAACAATGCCCATAGTGTTATTAATACCGATGGGCCATGTACAACTCTCGCCTCCTCTCCAGTAAGAAATGTCTGGGGGGCTTTTTTTGGAACTTTTGATTAGTGCTACAGTAGTGAAGAAACTGGATTTCCGTTTTCTTTTAAAAATTTTTTTTATAATACAAATATCAAAATTCCAATGTCAAAGATTTTAAAAATTTAAAGAGGGAAAAGGGCCCATATTAGCCTTGGGCCCCTATGCCTTGCTTACGCTAGCTATATGGTAGCTAAGCAAATGGTTGCCAGCCACACTTGTTCCACTGGACCATCCTGTTTCATATCTTAAATGGAATTTAAGACATTAAATGTATAGTAAACTGTCAACTGGAAATAGACACTTCGTAAAACTAAAAATGAGAATACAATAAATTTTATAATACTAATATAATAAAATATAATACTACTAACAACCCAGCACTGGCAGCACTCCTATTTTCTGAAGTCTGTTGTAAGACATTGGAAATAACAATAATAAAAAAAACCAGTAAGCTAATATCTATATCCTACCTCTACTGTAAGTATATGTCGAAACCTTGCAGCTAGATGTAAGGCTGTAGCTCCTGCATTATCTTGGTCATTAACGTTTAATTCAGTATTCTCAACAAGCCATTTCACAACTGCTGTATTTCCCTTAGCAGCAGCATCATGCAATGCTGTAGCTCCACTTTTTGATCTCTGTTGGACTGAGAATCCGGCACTTTTAATAAGATATTCAATAACGTGAACACTTCCTCCTCTAGCAGCATAGTGCAAGCAAGAGGCACCATTCGAATCAACAAGTGATTGCTTGTCATGTTCGATACGTTTTAATGTTTCCAAGTCACCGATTTTACTTGCTTCTAAAGCATTTAATATAACCATTTTAACAGAAATAAATATGAATAATAAACGTGTTTTTCCTACACACGTATTAATCGCAATTTACAATTATAAGTCTCGACAGCTGATGTTGTTGACATTTTTGACGGAGACGCCCTCAATAAGGAAACCCACTAAGGGAGAATTCGAAAATATAAATGACTTCTAAAATCGTATACAATAATGATGCATCTGTAATCTAAAACATTGCTAAAATATATTTTACTGTAAAAAATATAAACATATCGTCTCTGACTTGAAATTATCCATTCAAGTAAGCTAAATGTAATTTAATATAATAAACTTGTGTAATAATCAAAATAAATACTCCCAGCATATGTCGTCATTTCCCCTACCAAGGCAACATGGCTGCGTCCTTGGAGGAAGACGAAGATATTTTAAAGAATGATTATTATGCCCTATTAAACGTCGACAAAAAGGTTAGACCTTTCAAACATACTTCGATGGAATTTAGTCGCGTTTTATTTTATTTTGTTCTTTTATCAATTACTTAACATTCTGTGGTGAAACTCAAATCTTCACGACTGTGCCCATTTGGGTCCAAATCCGTCGTCAAACGACTTTCTGTCTTTGCTTTTTAATTTTTCTTTTCTTTTTTGTAGGGCTCACCCAAAAGTAAAAGATCTAGATTCTAGATCTAGACTGCATATTGTACTATGTAAAGCTGGATCTAAATTTAGATCTACATTATGAAAAGCTAAGCTTGCATCATACATGTGCAAACTTTCATCATGCTAATGAATGGTGGAGGCCACCGAGTTGATGAGAATACAATAATAATACAATTTAATAGGCCTAGGGCCTACACTACATACTTATTACATACTATTACTAAAGTACTAGAGTGAAGTTCCACGCGCGGTTAAAACAGTGGTGCAGCCATCGCCTGTTTATCGCTTCGTATAATATTTCTTTGGATGTTTTATACAAAACTACTGATATCTGCTGTAAACATGTCCATTTCTAAATATATCCAGTTCAAATTCTTTTGTTTTTCTCCTTTTGGAAGTGGAGTTTTTAAAGTTTAGAGGTATGACGTCGTAGGCGATTCTAGTCCCCCCTATGAAAAACAATAGGTCCCGGATGAGATGAATAAAACCAACCAATCAAAGCTTTTTATAACTAGGTTAACTATAAATAGCTTCTACAATATGTGCGGGACACTGTACATACGATAGATAAGGCTAATAAAGCAACCTGATAGGTGAATAGGGGTGGCCGCAGCTTGGGTGTCGATTAGGGTGGTTACACATCACTGCGTTACCAACTACTTGAGCTAGACTAGCCTAGTTCTATATGCTCTATATATCAAGCTAAGCCTAGTATCTGTATAATTTCTATTTTTTTCTGTTTTAAATTATTTCGATCATCTACTTCTTCTAAATCTAGTTTGTGTCTCTACATACAAACATATCTAAGCAAATGGTACGTTATGTCTTGTTAGTGATTGTTACGTCCCTTTGTTATGATTATTATAGTTGCGTCCCTTGAGTCATCACTGGGTCAACTTTTAATGTGTCATTAATAAATTTAATTAACATGTTTTTTTATTTGGTTTTGCAATCTATTAATTAATAATACAATCAACAACACGTTTAAAAGTGTAAAATATTTATTTTAGTTATTAAAATTGGATTAAAACATAAAATACGATCATTACGCTAGGCGGTTCAGGTAGCCGCAGGAAAAAAAAAAGAGGGGAAAAAATATCGCAAGTAACACGTCACTAAAACATGAGTATCTCAAATTCTATGCGTAGGAATATAAAATGATTGATACATATTAAGAGAAGAATGGTACAGGAATAATATAGTACTTTGGGTTTGTTTCTGTGTTAAACGGTTTCAAAATAGGGCCAGATGAAAGTCGGGAGTTCGCTACGTGTGATCATCTGTGGATCTTCCCTCTAGATCTAGTATTCTAGTACTCCCATCATTAATTATAATTGACATGGATAAAATTCGTTTTAAAATTTAAAAAAATACAAACTTAAGCCTAAAAATAATTCAGAAATTTAATATTTTTAGAATCAATAGGCCTATTCAATATATAAAAGTTGCAAATCCAGAAAACTTGAAAATATGAGTTTTTATGGCTTAGGCCTATGGCTACATTTCTGTTTATTTTCATTAAGCCTGATTAAGCCTAAGTGATGCTAACGTATCCAACAGCAGGATGTCATTGTTTAAGTTGCCATTACCATGTGAAAACTACTAAATTGCTTTTGCTTTTTTAAAAATTGTGTTTAATTACTGGACATACTAAAACGTCAAATACATCAACTCTTTTTTAAACCCAGGGTTTTATAACCATAGACCTATTAATTTTAATTACACTGTGCACGATTTAAAAAATATTTAATGGGCCTCTCAAATACCTTTGAGACTATTCTCTCTTGGGTCCATTATTTAATTAAATTCAATGTACCCAAATAACTAGCTTGAATCCTTAAATTTTAATGAATATAATATAATACGTCACATATCATTACAAACCATAAGCCTTACTGGTCAATTTGAGACCAATGTTAATTATCTAGCTTAGTCAGAGGCTGAGGAAACAACAAAAAAATCAAAATTGCTTAATTACCTGTTAAAATGCAAAACTTTTTTTTGCCATCAAAATTAGTTTAAAAGTTATGTTGTTTTGTGTTCTCTAGCATGCTGCCATGGCATTTATGATAACATTGACTATTTTACTTGCCAAAAAAACCAAAATCATGGCATAATAAAAAAACCCGCGATTTTAAACCCTATCAACATTATGATTAATATAAATTCCCATCTCGTCAAACTTGTTTGGGTCCATTTCTTATAGATCTGGATCTTCCTTCACAGCATATAAAAAAATCATGTCACATTGTCTTTAAAACTAAAAGGCTCAGTTGAGGTTAGAATATTCTTAGATTAAAGTGAAAAATTAATACCAAAAACTAGTTTAAAAAAAACCTCCCTACTAAAAGCTTAAATTAAAATAAAAAAGGTTAGGCTATACTAAAAATAACTGAAATCAACTCTCATCCAATCAACGGTTGGAGCTTTATTTTAGGTTAGATCCTACAGAGATGGATAGTTGCCCATTCTAAGCTAGATAAATTGTGACATTTTGGCTTTTAATTTTCCATCAGCCTATTTATCAAATTATAGGTTTTCATGGATACTTTGGCAAAAAAACTTCTCTTTGCCAGCCTGGGAGGACTGGATGGAAGGAAATTTTTTTTTTATGAAAAGTCACTTTTGTAATTTATAACTTTACTTAGTCAGGTTATGTTAATAATTGAGTATCAAGTGTTTTAACTGAGCAAAAATCACATTTTTTCAGGCATCTGTCGATGAGATCAACAATGCTTTCCGTCATCTAAGCAAAATTTACCACCCAGATAAACATGTTGATCCAGTAAAAAAAAAGAAAGCTGAAGATGTATTTAACAAACTTAGAAAAGCCCATGATGGTAAGTTTTGTATACACATACATATACTTATGTTAAACATCCATTTATACACATATGCATTTATTACATTGGAAATTCTGTGATTGACATACTTTAAAATTTGTAACAGTATTACGTGACAAGTACAAGCGTACTGTGTACGATATGTATGGAGAGAAAGGATTGGAAACTGGTGATATGGAAGTAAGTATTTGAGTTAACAAGATCTAGAGAAAATGGGTTTTGTATTGTTCAATAAAGCAGTTACATTAGCTTGTGTTTGTAAGCTAAAACAAAACATTTATTAGTGACATGAAATAAAAAAAAATTAATAAGTCTTACTAGGATTTAGTTATAACTATAAAATAAATGTCACAATACAGAATAGCATGTTTTGAAATTATACTATATTTAGAAACTTCCTATTACATCTGTTAAGGCAGTTACAATGATCAATAATTTCATTTTCACATGAAATATTTGACAAATTAACGGCCAATATCTTTGACAACTTGTTTAGATCATTGCTCGTACCAAGACACCAGCTGAGATTATTGCAGAGTACGAAAGAATTCAGAAAGAGAGAGAAGAACGGCGGCTTCAACAGAGGACCAACCCCAGGGTGACTGCTTGTTTACACTAATGTTTATGTTAAGGCTTTTGTTATTATTACTTCTATGTTAAATCCTTTGTGTGCCCTTGACTCAAAGAAGACTTGGACATATTTTAGTTTCTGTTTGAGAAAATTTCTTGCATTAACATGAATACTATTGCTTGACCAGGGTACCATAACTGTGGGAATCAATGCTACAGAGCTATTTGACACAGATTATGATGATGAAGAGCTTGTAGATTATCAGTGAGTTAATTATCACATTTTTTACTGTCATTTAGTTTGTGTTTTGAGAAATGTTCTTAGTCAAGTATTTATCAAGCAGTGTTTTATTTCTTATATTTGTACCATTTTTTTTAGTAAAAGCCAATCAACGTAACTTTAAAAAAAATTGAAACCATTTTAGTTTTTAAGTCGGCAACCCCACAAAAAAACCTGACCTGATCCTTTTCAGCCATAGGTTGTAATCTTGTGGCTAATTATAAAGTAGCTATATTTTGATTCTTTATAAAAAGGGCTTAAGAAGGGATTTTGTTTTACAGGCCAAGTAGATCAGTAGAAATCAGCTCCATGAGTATAGCTCAGTCTGTGGAATGTCCACTCACTCTGAAAGATACACTGGTAGTTGGTGGCAATCTAGACACACGTAATGGGACTGGTCAAGGCATGTTCAGTATCATATGGAGGAGACTTGTATCCACCAAAGGATGGGCTGAGGTCAGTGTGTTAGTCTAGAAATGTAAAAAAAAATTTGGCCTCAATGTCAGCTGTAAATATCACATGAAAATATGGTTTTGTTTTGTTCACAGATTGATTTACATCTGGGATCTGCTGCTGCTGTAGGAATCACAGGTTTTAGACAGCTCACACAGAGATGGTATGTACCCATAGATTCAGACAGCGCATACAGAGATGGTATGTACCCATAGTTTCAGACAGCTTACACTGAGATGGTATGGTATGTACCCATAGATTCAGACAGCGCATACAGAGATGGTATGTACCCATAGATTCAGACAGCTTACACTGAGATGGTATGTACCCATAGTTTCAGACAGCTCACACAGAGATGGTATGTACCCATAGATTCAGACAGCGCATACAGAGATGGTATGTACCCATAGATTCAGACAGCTTACACTGAGATGGTATGTACCCATAGATTCAGACAGCGCATACAGAGATGGTATGTACCCATAGATTCAGACAGCGCATACAGAGATGGTATGTACCCATAGTTTCAGACAGCGCATACAGAGATGGTATGTACCCATAGATTCAGACAGCGCATACAGAGATGGTATGTACCCATAGATTCAGACAGCGCATACAGAGATGGTATGTACCCATAGTTTCAGACAGCGCATACAGAGATGGTATGTACCCATAGTTTCAGACAGCGCATACAGAGATGGTATGTACCCATAGTTTCAGACAGCGCATACAGAGATGGTATGTACCCATAGATTCAGACAGCGCATACAGAGATGGTATGTACCCATAGTTTCAGACAGCGCATACAGAGATGGTATGTACCCATAGTTTCAGACAGCGCATACAGAGATGGTATGTACCCATAGTTTCAGACAGCGCATACAGAGATGGTATGTACCCATAGTTTCAGACAGCGCATACAGAGATGGTATGTACCCATAGATTCAGACAGCGCATACAGAGATGGTATGTACCCATAGATTCAGACAGCTTACACTGAGATGGTATGTACCCATAGTTTCAGACAGCGCATACAGAGATGGTATGTACCCATAGATTCAGACAGCGCATACAGAGATGGTATGTACCCATAGTTTCAGACAGCGCATACAGAGATGGTATGTACCCATAGATTCAGACAGCGCATACAGAGATGGTATGTACCCATAGATTCAGACAGCGCATACAGAGATGGTATGTACCCATAGATTCAGACAGCGCATACAGAGATGGTATGTACCCATAGATTCAGACAGCGCATACAGAGATGGTATGTACCCATAGATTCAGACAGCTTACACAGAGATGGTATGTACCCATAGATTCAGACAGCGCACACACTGAGATGGTATGGACCCCTGTATGCTGTGATGTTGAATCAGCCTGGTTAAGTCACTTGCTTTTTAAACTAGTCTCTAAGGTTGTTTTACCTGCTCAAGTTTGGTATCGCAGACAAAACATAGGAGAATAAAAACATATGTGGACTAATTTAACACAAGATTAATTCTTTTCAGAGAGAGAAAATGATTTCTGTATCTTGATAAATGAACTGTTTCATGCTATTTTCTAACCACAGTTACATACGGTGTGGAGTGCGTACAGAAGTCACACAGTATGGGTATAGACCATCTGCAGCTTTTAGTAAGTTGTTTATTATACAATTATATTCAGTTAAAATAGATTTATAAAAAATGTAAGTGAAACATACTGTTTCGATACCATTTTTGTATTTTCTAAAGATGGTTAAAGCAAATAAAAGTATTATTTATCCCTGGTTTCTATTTTCCAATTGGATGCAAAACTAACATCAAAGTCTTTAAAAATTGTTCTTCATAGTTTTAGTTCTATTTCAAACAAATTGCTACACAGATTATTTTTCATAACCTATTTAAAAAAAACATTCAAATTAAATAGTGTTCACACTGGCAGTGGTGTAGATAATTACTACAGGGGCTGTCAGAGGCTTACAGAGTAAATACAAATTCTTAATGTAACCTTAATAAACAATTTTTCAGTGATGGCCTATCAGTTTGATCGCAACTTGCAGGGTCGTTTGACTTACAATTTATCCAGACCATCCTCGCTAACAACAAACATTTCATATAGTAATGAGCAGCATAATGTCTCCACAACTATTCAGGTAAATTCTCAATTATAAATTTTATCAACGATAAAAATCAAAATAATCAAAAATTCTTAAAGAAACTTTTAAAATGTCATTAAATTTTCAAACTGTCATTTCAGCTTGGTATTCGCAACTCTTATTTATCAATTGCATATGGTAGAACTTTCTTAGAACAGGATGCAAAAATACGCGGAGCTGTGAGGTAATTTTTTTTGTTTATATTTCATTTGTGTTGTTTTGTTTGCATAAAAATAAATATTTTAAAAGGGAAATTATGACTTTTGCATGCAACTGTTCTATTATATAATTTAATTAAAGCTTGTAATGAATAAATTTTCTTTTAAGATGAAGACTGCTTAATACAGTGCTATCACCTCCGACCTGACAAAAGCTTATGTGTCATTTGAAAATACTTAAAACTTATGTAAATAATTAACTTTTGACCTTTTAGGGTTGGCACTTTAGGTTCCATGGTTGAATGTTCAGTGGAAAAGAAAATTTCAGACTTTAGTCACATTGGAGGAACTTTACTTGTCGGACTACCACATGGTGTTCACCTGAAGCTCAAGTAGGTTTTCTTGTCTCACCTGTAGCTTAAGTAGGTTTTCTTGTCTCACCTGTAGCTCAAGTAGATTTTCTTGTCTCACCTGTAGTTGAAGTAGGTTTTCTTGTCTCACCTGTAGCTCAAGTAGGTTTTCTTGTCTCACCTGTAGCTCAAGTAGGTTTTGTTGTTTCACCTGTAGCTCAAGTAGATTTTCTTGTCTCACCTGTAGTTGAAGTAGGTTTTCTTGTCTCAACTGTAGCTCAAGTAGGTTTTGTTGTTTCACCTGTAGCTCAAGTAGGTTTTCTTGTCTCATCTGTAGCTCAAGTAGGTTTTCTTGTCTCACCTGTAGCTCAAGTAGGTTTTGTTGTTTCACCTGTAGCCCAAATAGGTTTTCTTGTCTCACCTGTAGCTCAAGTGGGTTTTCTTGTCTCACCTGTAGCTCAAGTAGGTTTTCTTGTCTCACCTGTAGCTCAAGTAGGTTTTGTTGTTTCACCTGTAGCTCAAGTAGGTTTTCTTGTCTCACCTGTAGTTGAAGTAGGTTTTCTTGTCTCACCTGTAGCTCAAGTAGGTTTTCTTGTCTCACCTGTTTCTCAAGTAGGTTTTCTTCTTCAGCTGTTTCAAAAAGTAGTTTGTCATGTGCTAAAACTTTGTTTTCCAATAAAAATAAAGTATGTCCCTTCATACTAAACTGATTTTCGTCATGAAAAGAAATTTCTATAAAATAGTACCTCTAATATCCAACTATGACCCTCACATTTTTTGGCATGTATTTATACTATACTTGGCCTGAACTTGTGTCACCAACAGGGACAAATGTGACTACAGAAAGGAATATAGATTTGTCATTTAATAGCTAACACTTTAAAACACATATTGTCAGGCTACTGATTTGCTTTTAAGATTAAAATTGATAGCATGTTAAAGGTAAACAAATGTAATTTTTAATTGTTTAAATCTGCTTTTACAATAATGAAGATTAGAATCATATGCGACACCCTATAGTAAAGCTGATTTGTTAAAATTTCTTGAAGGGAATTCTAAATTGATATGAGCCAGAATTTCAATACAGTGTCATAGTTCATAAAATAAAGATATACCTATAATTGAGTTTATATACCCTCTATCAAAATAATGAGGGAAGTTTGTATTGTTTTTCAGATTACTAAGAGGACAACAGACATTTTTTTTCCCAATTTATCTGTCTGAAGGCTTGAGCCCCAGTGCAGTGATCTATGGGGCTTTAGTTCCCCTGACAGCCTATTTTGTCATTAGGAAGCTGATTGTTAACCCAATACTGAGACAGCAGAAAGAGAAGTAAGTCATCATGCAGGAGTTTTGTCTCAACATTTCTAAAAGTAAAGTTTTCAGCCTTTATAAAAAAATAAATTATTCAATACTTTTTAAACTGCTCAAACTTTTTAAAAATCTGTGCAAAAGCAGTTTTATCTTCCTTTTTCAGATATTAGCCATGATAATCTATGAAGAAAAAATTTCTATATGCATTTATTTATTTTTTGTCTATGGGGCATTATTTTTTATTTCAGAGAGTTAGAGAAGCAGAAGGAAGATAATGCTGAAAAACTTGCTCAAAGAAAGAGTGAAGCTGAAAAGGCTGTGAGTATGGCGGAGTTTAAGAAATTATTTATAAATGGGAATGCAGATTGTGTTAGAATTGGTTGGGTATCTCACTGTTTTAAAAAGTATTGTGTTCCAGATGACTTGAAATTGTAAGTTTTCCTAATGAATCAAATGATTGATGACAGGTTGAGCTGATGAAAGAGACCTACGAGAGATGCGTGGAGGTGGAGGAGAAGAAGTCTGGTCTTGTTATTGTCAAATCTCTGTATGGGAAACTTCATTCTGCAGAAGATGGGTATGTTGACACTTTATTTTAAAGCTATCTTTTTAAATGGGTGGGTTCTGTTTATTATAGCACAAATGAAACATCTATTTTTTGACCAGTCAGATTTTTTTAAAGTATACTTTCTGCTGAACAATTATTTTCCATTGCCTGGTTTTTTTCCTGAGTGTGATTGTGTTGATTTTTTAAATAAGATTTTCAATTTTTATAGGACATGGCTAAAATTATGCATTTTCATTTTTTACATGTCTATCTTAAACAAAAAAAAAAAACTACCCCTCTCCAGCTTGGTAGATGTAAACCGTAACAACGAGTGAAAGAGTTATTTAGAAATTAAGAAATGCATGACTAATAAAATCAAAGTATTAATCAGGTTACCTCAATTTATCAAGACTCAATGTTTTTATTTCCTTGAATTGTATCTTTGATTATTTTAGGGAATAGGGATGTGGTCTATAAAAGAATTCATGTTTCTAAAGCTTATAATGGCTGACCTTCCCCAAGCCCCCATATATTTTACAGCTTGTGGCTACCTCTAGTTTTTTTGTGCCATTACTTTCAAGCATGTGGCTACCTCTAGGTTTTTGGTGCCACTACTTTAAGCATGTGGCTACCTCATTCTTTACCTTATCATCTTTCAGGGAAATCATGGAACACATGTGTATTGATGTGACCATTCCTATTCAAGCCTTAGTCAAAGACTCAAAGCTCATCCTACCAGAAACATCTTCTAAGGTTTGTTCCCTTGTGTTAGCACTAAGAAGAATCATTACAAGCTTTTATTTAACTCGCTTCCTTTGTCTGTCTGCTTTTATCTGTTGTCATAGATCAAAACTGCTGATAGAAATTTTCGAGGACTTCTAAATGACAGATTCATTACAAATATATTTAAAGAAAGTCATTTATTTTCTCAGTTTTAGTGCATTATTACATAAAAGCTTGTTATGAAAAAGTTTTTTAAGCATTTTAAAAATAAGTTAAGCTAAGAAAAATAGAATGATTATGTTTACATTACTTTTCTTGTTTTCATAGAGTGGCCTTCCAGGTTTTTATGACCCTTTCATCAGTGAAGAGAAGAAATTGTACATACGTTATTCCTTTAGAGGGCGTCTACACCAAGCATTTATATCAGATACAGAACCAATTAGGCTCCCTCAACAAAGTGAGTGTTGTTCATATTTTCTTCTGGTACAGGGCTCCAGTGGAACTGGTTAAAAAATATAAGTTCTCTTTAGTCTGACACTTTTTATGTATTTTATATAATGGGCCTTTGAAAAAATCATTTAAAAATTTCTTTTACTTTTAATTTATATTTGTTATTATATAGTGGATTCTTAAAATCCTAGTAATTTGTACTGTTTCAAAACGTGTAAAATAGTTAAAAACCAATGCTTATTCTAATTTTAAAATGATGAAAGACAATTTTCTCTACCTGTTTGAAGCATTAAATTAAAGATTGGAATTTAATATCTGTGACTTAGTTGAAAATGTATTTGTATGTGTGATTTTCTTCAGAACACCTTATAGCACAAGAAGCAGCAAGATCTCAGCCTCCACCTCAAAATTCATGACAACTGCCACCCATATAGAGAACAGCTGAATTCAAGGTGCCCACTGTCAGTTCATGACCTAGCTCAATTAGAGATTGTGTGGCAAAACACCGAAACATTGTCTTAGAGGTTCTAGCTGCCACATCATTCCCTACTAGGTATTTACGGGAACATTCATTACTACAATTAACCAATTAATGAGGAATTTTTTTTCACAAGTTGTGAACCAATTATTTCTAGCTTGTTTTTGGTGTACATATATTTTTAAGATTAACTGATAAATGAACCATATTTTAGAATATTTCAAAGTCATTGTTTAAGCCCAAAATTATTGTTGACCATTGGTGGTTGTGTACTTACAATATCAAAACTGTTGGTTTAGTTTAAAATGTTAATTCATATCAGTCTTTTCAAATAATTACATTGGTAGTTTCAAACCTATGTGCAGAAATGGTTTTTCTTGGCTAGGTAATTTATATGCAAAGTAAAACAAATTTTAATTTATTTATTCATTTATTGTATTTCTAACCTGATGACTCACAACAAAAACAAAGTGAATGAAATCTTTTTATTTTTTATTATGTGTGAACCAGTCAATAAATATGTAGACCAGTATCCTGTAGGCTGTTTTTCTAGAGCTACTGTTTGCTTGTTACTAGTTTTTTTACCCACTGAAGTTGTGAGATTTCTGCAGTTTCAATGTTGAGAAGCGAATTATTTGTTGGTGGTACTGTGATTGTACAAAAGAACTTTATGTCCGTCAGATTGTTGCTTGATAATTGTTTATGAACACCAGAAGTTGATTTCATTATTTATTTCCTCTCCATTTCCACTTCAAGAAATTATTTTTTTAAGAAGAATTTGATGTCAGAAATTACAAGTGCAATGTGCATTAAGTAAAACATCATTTACATAACATCAGAAAGGACTCTGTTTGACTAATGATTTAAAAGACAGTTATTTAAATATTATCGTCTTGTTAATAAATAAAAATGAAGAGTGAATTTATTCCATCATTTTGTTTTTAAACTTGCCCAGAATTTGTACATTTGAAAATTGTTGGTTTGTTTTGTTAAATAATTTTAAGTTTTATAACTAATTTAAAGTGTGCTGTATGCTGCACATGCCTCGAAACATCTATTAAACTGGATGTTTTTGTTTTATTATAACAATAAATTTCTCATCATAAATTAATCTGGGATTTGTCTTTTTCAAAATTACAATTTGTGTTACTAGGATTTGTCTTTTTCAAAGTTACAATTTGTGTTACTAGGATTTGTCTTTTTCAAAGTTACAATTTGTGTTGTGTCTAAGTAGTGTACTACAAGTCTTTCATCAGATCAGTGTTGAAGCATTTTATTTAGGTGCTATTAGATTTCACTAATTTAGTCCATGCTTCCAGCTCTTGTGTAGGCTATGTTTTCAACCCAAATCGAGACCATAATGTAGCAGCAGTTGAACTATATTTTTGTAACCAATGCTGAGATCTATATAATGTTGAGTATTATAATTTAATTGCTGAGTACCATGATTTTTTTATGTTGAGTATAGTTATTCAAGAAGCAACTTGACCACATAATTAAAAGATGAAAACCCGCAGTCAGTGTTTCAAAGTGGTAGATTGTAAGATAGATGTAGATATACAATTGTCAATAAAAGTTGTTTTCATTTAATCGTTAGTTCTCAATTATTTTGTGTGCTTGCAACTGAAGCATGCTTCGGGTATTGTTTGATATTTTGATTGTTTATTCATCGCTATTTTTCTAAAACGATATTTGCCCTTGGTTCAATAACAGTGAAACGGGAAAATCCTATTTTGCAGCGCACACCAGCACGCTATGCACTGGATCGCGCGGGCTAAATACACGACACTAAATTTATGTGTGTAAACCATCTCTAAAAAGGTGAAATTTCCTACCGATTAAAGCCGTTTCCTTTATTGAAGTTAACATCGTGCTTGAAACGAAACACATTGTGAGTCAACCGTCCAAACAACGACGGTAACTTTCACACACATTTGACATCAAAGAAAAATAAATTGATTCATAAACGTAGTAGAAAAGCATGGCAAGCGCCTCTGTAGTCAAATCACCCAGTATTCATAAATCGCGATCAAGGACGAAGCGGTTAACATCTATCAACAGGCAAGATGCTTCTAAGTCTGGTGCAACATCCAGCAGATCTCAAGTGCAAGAAACGCGTTTTCCAGAAGACAAAATCAACTTGCCTTCTGTCGATGACCCCTCATACCGATATAACCCCGAAGGCGCATGCGCGGATCGGCTAGCTGAGCATCTTGGGGATACAATCATGTCAACAATAAACGACACGTTTTTCTCACCTAACACTGAATTAGGGTACACAACTCAGCCTTGTGCTTACAAACCGCAGACGTCTCCAGTTATGGCATCAGTGGATAACACAAAGTTTCCGTCTGAAGATTACAAGAGAGGCAACTCCTATACACCTCCATACGACCTTGTCATAGATCCTTCTATTTTCCTATTTGAATTCAACGAGAGCCACGTCACCGAAAAAAAAGATCACCCAGCTGACCGTGGGGCTACCCGCGTGAAGCCCACAATGAACTCTCGCACTCATGGAGCTGCTGACGACACCAAAAGAAAACCTGAATCCACTAAAAGAAATCATGAATCCACCAAGAGAATTCCTGAATCCACCGAGAGATATGCTGACTTCACTTGGAGAAGCCCAGCTTTCTGCGAGTCATTGACCAGCTGTTCTGATGTGCACCACACGCGGATCACTGAGTTCTACCCCAGCAGCAAGTCTCGTCACATCCGCTACAGCCGCGCGCCCTTCATGGCTTCCTTCTCACACATCTCCATCGGGAAATCCCCAACAGATATTGATATTTCCCGTAACTCCACCTCGTCGCCGACAGAGACGTGCGGTCAGGCTTCCCGACAACACAAAGCCAAACACCAGGAGCCACAGATGGACAGGCCGGTCAGAGCCCAGGACACCACGTCCTTCAACAACACGCTCTCAACCATCCCCGAGACCTTCCCTAGTCTCCTGGAGACCATCGCTGAAGTCATGCACCCAGACACATCTGATAACGTTTATGATACTTCAATTAAAGCTGCTGACAAACCACACGAAAGGAAATGTCCGGACCAATCGCAAGACAGCAAGTTAAGCGTGCCTCGCGCCAACTATAAAATAGAGTCTAGAGAGAGCTTAAGCCGCTTCACCAGAAGCTCAAGTAATATTCTCGAGTGCGTGGATCTCAGGAACCAGCAGCCCAACGGACAGGTATCGGAGGAAGATGTTAAAGAGAGGGCAGCGACTCAGTTGCCTGATATCTCTCTGGTGTATGTGGACGAGGACACCCCGAACAAGGTCGCCAGCCGCCTGAGCTCAGTCAAGCCCACAACGATCTCTGACGCCGTCTGGACCAGTTCTGCCACAGACGACGTGAAAAGCCAGGCCAGCTACATCTTCAAGGCGTTATCAAACGACGGCTGCAGCCTGATGAAAACGGCGAGCAAAGAAGACGCCAAGAAAAGCGGGGCAGCGACAAAAAATGTCACAGAAAAAGAAGAAACGTGCCACGATAAACCAACATACTTGAACATTCCCAATGCCTACCCAATATTTCGCAGCTGCAGCCGAAAGTCCTATGCTGAAAGTCTGAAATCGTTACAAAGCTTGAAAGAAAACATGTTGGAAAGAACAAACACAGTTAGCTACATTGCCCACTCACCTCCCCTTTTAGAAAGAAAAATAACGTCTTTTGATGAAGGCACATCAGTCGATTGCCAGCTCCCGAATGAATGCAAGGTGCTGAGCAATGTTGACCCTTCTGTGGAGTCATTGACCATGATCAGCCTGACCTCATCCTACCCATATGACCCGACAGAGAGGAGAGTCGCCTTGTATGAGAAGTCATGTGACGTGGGGGAGCTTTGCCTGAGTGGCACCTCCAGCAGCTGTTCCGAGAACAACGAGCAGGTGGAGATGTACAGCTACAGGGCGGACAAGTCCCCGGGCAGCCCGCCAGACGAGAATTATTGGAGCTCAAAGCCGCGCTACAGGCGGCACTCGACCTGCTCGGTGCTGAGAGGCTACAGCAACAACAAGCTGGGCAACCTGCTGGCCAACAGCCGCAAGTACAGGACGCAGCACGCCAACGAGATGAACCAGATTCTCGCAGTCCCCGAGTCACGCGCCATCAAGTCCGCCTCCTGCCCGTTCCGCCCCATTACCTACCCTGAGTTGGGCGTGCAGGGCAGAGAACAGTCTAGAATAGAGCGTCTGCTGAGGATCCTTGCCGGACACAGCGGCTGGTACCCCAACGTCATCTCGTGGCTCCACACGCTCTTCACCAGCTTGTCACGTGTCACTTTAGTTTCAAATTCAGATGACCACCAGATGACCACCGGTCCCCCACAGTGCGTGGGGCCCAAGTTAAAAATAACCGAACCCCGTGCTGCTAGTGACAATTTTGAATTATCCGCGCGTCTAACAAACAACACGTTTGAAAGCTTCGCCATTCAAAGTGTCCACTCCAAACAGAAGCGGGCGAGTCAACGGAGCAGCTTGCTGAGTTTCACAGGCTCGACCCTCAGGTTGGCCGAACTACCCGCGCCACCCGTGGAGCTGACTAAGTGTCTCGTCTGCCCAGAGGACGACAATGACGGCACGGCACCCTGTAAGCTAAGAATGTGGGAGCCGGAAAGATCGCCTGCAAAATTGAATGAAAAAACGCCGCCATTCATGAAAGCGAGGAGCGCGTCATCATTGAAAACGAGCGAGTCCAGTAACAGTGTCAGGCGTAGACTAAGCCCTCGACACACCCAGGAGAAGCCGCCCAAGAACCATCAGCCTGTTCGTCAAGAGAACACGGTTGTCCCAACAAACAGCCCTAAGTCTTACAGAGTTAGGTCCTCGCAAAGACGTCGAGAGGAAGCGCTTGAGTTTGCCAGTACCTCCTACTCCATCATTAGCTTGGTGGACTCGCGAGACGCCGTGTCTACCCGTGTGGTCACCAGCTTCAACAGCGACGGCAGAGCCCGTCGGTCCAACTCAAACCTGACATCCCCCTCCACTCATAGATTCAGCGACAACAGAAGCTCGCCAAGATTCAAAACCAACGTCAGCACAACTCCATCTAAGGACCGAGCCAGCGACAGCACAACTTCGCTGCGAAACTCGGCGAGCACCAGAAGACCGCCGACCATCGCTGAGGCAGTGATAGAAGAAGATGCGCAGGCGGGCTGCTCGCGGCATGACGTTGTCAGCGAAAACAACGAGGGACAACTCGTCAGTGGCGCGACAGCGGAAAGTATTCCCTGTGTCGTTTTCCCCAATGACAGTTACGGCGACGACGGGGTGTTGAATATGTTTCTCCCTGACGCCCTGTCGCGGGCGTTAAACTTGGCCGGCACGGTAAGCAATGTGTGGGCACTATTTTATAGGGCGGTGTAAGCAATGTGTGGGCACTATTTTATAGGGCGGTGTAAGCAATGTGTGGGCTCTATTTTATAGGGCGGTGTAAGCAATGTGTGGGTTCTATTTTATAGGGCGGTGTAAGCAATGTGTGGGTTCTATTTTATAGGGCGGTGTAAGCACTGTGTGGGCTCTATTTTATAGGGCGGTGTAAGCACTGTGTGGGCACTATTTTATAGGGCACGGTAAGCAATGTGTGGGCTTTATTAGCAATGTGTGGGCACTATTTTATAGGGCGCTGTAAGCAATGTGTCGGCTCTATTTTATAGGGCACGGTAAGCAATGTGTCGGCTCTATTTTATAGGGCGCTGTAAGCAATGTGTGGGCTCTATTTTATAGGGCGCTGTAAGCAATGTGTGGGCACTATTTTATAGGGCGCTGTAAGCAATGTGTGGGCACTATTTTATAGGGCGCTGTAAGCAATGTGTGGGCACTATTTTATAGGGCGCTGTAAGCAATGTGTGGGCACTATTTTATAGGGCGCTGTAAGCAATGTGTGGGCACTATTTTATAGGGCACGGTAAGCAATGTGTGGGCACTATTTTATAGGGCGCTGTAAACAATGTGTGGGCACTATTTTATAGGGCGCTGTAAGCAATGTGTGGGCACTATTTTATAGGGCGCTGTAAGCAATGTGTGGGCACTATTTTATAGGGCACGGTAAGCAATGTGTGGGCACTATTTTATAGGGCACGGTAAGCAATGTGTGGGCACTATTTTATAGGGCGCTGTAAGCAATGTGTCGGCTCTATTTTATAGGGCGCTGTAAGCAATGTGTTGGCTCTATTTTATAGGGCGCTGTAAGCAATGTGTCGGCTCTATTTTATAGGGCGCTGTAAGCACTGTGTGGGCACTATTTTATAGGGCGGTGTAAGCAATGTGTGGGCACTATTTTATAGGGCGCTGTAAGCAATGTGTGGACACTATTTTATAGGGCGCTGTAAGCAATGTGTGGGCACTATTTTATAGGGCGCTGTAAGCAATGTGTGGGCACTATTTTATAGGGCGCTGTAAGCAATGTGTGGGCACTATTTTATAGGGCGCTGTAAGCAATGTGTCGGCTCTATTTTATAGGGCGCTGTAAGCAATGTGTCGGCTCTATTTTATAGGGCGCTGTAAGCACTGTGTGGGCACTATTTTATAGGGCGCTGTAAGCAATGTGTGGGCACTATTTTATAGGGCACGGTAAGCAATGTGTGGGCACTATTTTATAGGGCGCTGTAAGCAATGTGTGGACACTATTTTATAGGGCGCTGTAAGCAATGTGTCGGCTCTATTTTATAGGGCGCTGTAAGCAATGTGTGGGCACTATTTTATAGGGCGCTGTAAGCAATGTGTGGACACTATTTTATAGGGCGGTGTAAGCAATGTGTCGGCTCTATTTTATAGGGCGCTGTGAGCAAAGTGTGGGCACTATTTTATAGGGCGCTGTAAGCACTGTGTGGGCACTATTTTATAGGGCGCTGTAAGCAATGTGTGGACACTATTTTATAGGGCGCTGTAAGCAATGTGTCGGCTCTATTTTATAGGGCGCTGTAAGCAATGTGTCGGCTCTATTTTATAGGGCGCTGTAAGCAATGTGTCGGCTCTATTTTATAGGGCGCTGTAAGCAATGTGTCGGCTCTATTTTATAGGGCGCTGTAAGCAATGTGTGGGCACTATTTTATAGGGCGGTGTAAGCAATGTGTGGGCACTATTTTATAGGGCGCTGTAAGCAATGTGTCGGCTCTATTTTATAGGGCGCTGTAAGCAATGTGTGGGCACTATTTTATAGGGCGCTGTAAGCAATGTGTGGGCACTATTTTATAGGGCGGTGTAAGCAATGTGTGGGCACTATTTTATAGGGCGCTGTAAGCAATGTGTGGGCACTATTGTATAGGGCACGGTAAGCAATGTGTGGGCACTATTTTATAGGGCGGTGTAAGCAATGTGTGGGCACTATTTTATAGGGCACGGTAAGCAATGTGTCGGCTCTATTTTATAGGGCGCTGTAAGCAATGTGTCGGCTCTATTTTATAGGGCGGTGTAGTGCACGATAGTCTCGGGGTTTATGTCGCTGTTTTAACCTTAGCAATGAGCCACAATTGCACTCATTATGCTGTCGGGGCATACAACGTAGTGGGACCCACTGCTGTAAAACGTGGTCTTGACCGCATTTTTCATTGTCCACAGACGCTACTTTCTCAAATGGAGAATATTAAAGAGAAGAATTCCAGCATGAAAGTCCAATTTCCACAAAAGCGAGGATTTTATGAACCCCCCAAGGCATATCCAATGTAAGTAGATCATTAGCATTCAATGTAAAAAGGTCTACAGCAGCATCCAATGTAAGTAGGTCTACAGCAGCATTCAATGTAAGTAGGTCTACAGCAGCATTCAATGTAAGTAGGTCTACAGCAGCATCCAATGTAAGTAGGTCTACAGCAGCATCCTATGTAAGTAGGTCTACAGCAGCATCCAATGTAAGTAGGTCTACAGCAGCATCCAATGTAAGTAGGTCTACAGCAGCATCCAATGTAAGTAGGTCTACAGCAGCATCCAATGTAAGTAGGTCTACAGCAGCATTCAATGTAAGTAGGTCTACAGCAGCATCCAATGTAAGTAGGTCTACAGCAGCATCCTATGTAAGTAGGTCTACAGCAGCATCCAATGTAAGTAGGTCTACAGCAGCATTCAATGTAAGTAGGTCTACAGCAGCATTCAATGTAAGTAGGTCTACAGCAGCATCCTATGTAAGTAGGTCTACAGCAGCATCCAATGTAAGTAGGTCTACAGCAGCATCCAATGTAAGAAGGTTTGCAGTAGAGCTTGTTATGTCGAGACAATTATTTCATCTTTCATGTTTGCCATAACGCGTCTCTTATTTAAATACATTTAAATTCTATTTGCCGAAACTCGAGTCAATTGTTCAACTGATACAGTTTAAGATGAGACGTTCAGCATGTGTTAATACAATTGTATTTGTCGTCTTCCGTGTGCGGTGTTCAACATGTGTTAATACCATTGTATTTGTCGTCTTCCGTGTGCGGTGTTCAACATGTGTTAATACAATTGTATTTGTCGTCTTCCGTGTGCGGTGTTCAACATGTGTTAATACCATTGTATTTGTCGTCTTCCGTGTGCGGTGTTCAGCATGTGTTAATACAATTGTATTTGTCGTCTTCCGTGTGCGGTGTTCAACATGTGTTAATACAATTGTATTTGTCGTCTTCCGTGTGCGGTGTTCAACATGTGTTAATACAATTGTATTTGTCGTCTTCCGTGTGCGGTGTTCAACATGTGTTAATACAATTGTATTTGTCGTCTTCCGTGTGCGGTGTTCAGCATGTGTTAATACAATTGTATTTGTCGTCTTCCGTGTGCGGTGTTCAACATGTGTTAATACAATTGTATTTGTCGTCTTCCGTGTGCGGTGTTCAGCATGTGTTAATACAATTGTATTTGTCGTCTTCCGTGTGCGGTGTTCAACATGTGTTAATACAATTGTATTTGTCGTCTTCCGTGTGCTGTGTTCAGCATGTGTTAATACAATTGTATTTGTCGTCTTCCGTGTGCGGTGTTCAGCATGTGTTAATACAATTGTATTTGTCGTCTTCCGTGTGCGGTGTTCAGCATGTGTTAATACAATTGTATTTGTCGTCTTCCGTGTGCGGTGTTCAGCATGTGTTAATACAATTGTATTTGTGTCTACCAGCTGGCTGCATCCAGAACACATCCAAAAGCTCTTGAGACTGCTGGGGAGCACAGAGCCGCCCCCGCCGCCGTCTGACGAGAGCCAAGCGCCGTCGGTGACCAAAGAGGACTCCATCTGCAGCCACGAGAGCAAGGAGGAGGAGTTGTCGTGCCCCCAGCAAACAGTCTCTGAACCCGCGCCTGCCCCGGAGCCTGTCTACATCCCTCGGACAGTGGACAACTTTAGGGAGCTGCGGTTGTGTTACCCGCCCATCCCGCTTCCACAGACGTTCAAGACTAAATATAAACCAAAGTCCAGCGGCTTAAAGCGCATATGTAAGCAAAAATCCAACAGGTCCGCCAAAAATCGCAGTCAGACAGAAGCGTTTTCCCACTCACCCCCACTCCGACCGGGATCGTTTTTTGGCATGTGCAGGAGCAGCCTGGGCAGCCAGAACTCCATCCAGTCTCCCCCCATCTCACACCAGATGAGGAAACCGCCTTCGTGCTCCCCGCGGGTCGGTCGTGTGCCGTCGTGTCCCAGCCCCGAGCCCCGCCCCAAGAAACAAGATGTCTGGGCGGACAGCGAGTTACGCAGGAAGTCGTGCATGCTCAGTGAAAAAGGGGATCGATATTACATGAATAAATTGTTCAGAAAGAAGCTGACGGCAAAAAATTTAATAAAAGATGTGAAGAAAGGCACCGGTACTAAGCATGTTGGAGGACAGAAAGAGGTTGTTATCTCTTTAAAAGATTCCCAGGATCAGTCATCGAAAACTAGCGTGACAAAGGTAGAAGAGAATCAAAGCAAAAACAAAACTCCCGTCAGCCGAAGCCAAGCAATGCCCAAACACCAACACTCGGGGCACACTTGTTCACCAGAGCAGACGTCGAGTAAAGCCAAGAACGACAGCCTTCGCTTCTCTGAAAAATCCGGCGCGGACTCGAATCCAACAGATGACTCGACGCACAGCGACGAGCCAAGGCTCTGGGGGAACGTGTGCCCTCTGCTGACGTGTCCGTGCGGCACCAACACTCACGTCCGCTGCAACTGTCCCAACAACTTCAATTTACACCGACAAAAAACCTATCCCACCAGCACAATTAAAAATGAACAATTTACCGAAGTTCGCAAGATGCCCGTTTCCGCATCCTTGAGGTATCCGGATTTATATCCATTAAAATCCAAACTTCGAATAGAACGAACCATTTCCAGTGCAAACCGAATGATTCCGTACCTGAACGATTCTGTGAGAAGTTCCAGATTCTCGCGTCGCGTGTATCCAGGCAGCTTCGAGTACTCCAGCCCGACGTTCCGAAGCACGCTGACCTCTTACCGTCACGCCGGCTACTCGCCCTACACCTGGAGAAACACCAACTTCAGCAAAAATGTCGACAACTACCTTCACAGCTCTAGCCTGCACAACAACGATTACATTTCTCGCATCGGCGGCAGTGGCGACTACTCGTCCAATCACTACAGCACCACCCCCAGCTCCCTGGGGTACAACGCCAGAACCAGCATAAACCGGATGCTGGCAGCCAGGTGTGTGGACACACGCCACACGTTCCCCTCCACGGGGAGCGGCTCAGGTCTGCCGCTGTGCTGTGCTATGGTGAAGCGGGAAAACGGGGAGGAGCTGAGCTACAAGCTGCCGGAGAGGGATCCCGTACACGACGCCTTCGTCTACGACTACAGCAGAGATCCGGGCGCGAACCAACATCTGGTTACATCATGGTTGTTGACTTAAAATCATCTTTAATTAGAACATCATCGCGCTCGTTGACAAATATCATTTTAAACATCCAGCAAGAAATAAAATATCTCCAAATAAAATTTGATTCTGTTCTACTGTCAACCTTTACTTAATTGTCAAATAATAGTTTATAATACGTTGTCGAATTGAACAAAAAACAAACAAGCAAAAACATTTCTTGTGAAGATAGTGTTTGGTTAGATAAAGGTGTACGTAATTGCTTCCTCCGTCAAGCAGTTTGTGGTCGGCGGAGAGTGTGTATGGGAGGAGGGGGGGGGGGGGTAGTAGCGAGTATTGGAGTGCAAATAGGAGTTTTTGGACTTTTTGGAGTGTTTAATGGTTTAATCGGTATGCAATAGCTACTAAGTGAAGTCAAGGATTCTTAACACACACACACATAAATATATTTAAATTTATATTTATATATATATATATATATATATATATATATATATATATATATATATATATATATATATATATATATATATATATATATATATCATATATAGTTGCAATTGGTGACATCCCTAACCCTGGCCCTTTCCGTAAATTTGTGCGCACAAACCACCTATTAATTCATGTGGAAAAAGCACTGTTTTCATCTAAAGTTATTAGATTTTTGTCTCACAAGCCTTTATACCTCTCTACATTTTGCAGTTGGCGTCACCCCCCCCCCACCCACCCACCCCCCTCTCTCCGTGATAGCTTTAAAGTATGTGCAGTTAATATTCCTTCTATATTTTTTGCAATTTTTTGATCTGGTGTCACCCCCTAAATGGTGTCACCCGGTGCGTACCACAACCCCGCCCCCTTGTCGCGACGAATCTTTGTACATTATATATATTATATATATTATATATATATATATATATATATATATATTATACTATATATATTATATTTATATATATTATATATATTATATATTATATATATTATATATATTATATATAATTATATATATTATATATATTATATATATTATATATATTATAGTATATATATATATTATATATGATATATATATATTATATATTACTATATATTATATATATTATATATATTATATATATCTTATATACTATTATATTATATATAATTATTATATAAGATATATAGTATATATATTATATATATATATTATGATAGATATATATTATATATATATATTATGTATATTATATATAGTATAATAATATATAGATAGTCTCTATATTAATT